GGTCCAAAAGATACACAAAGGAAAATGTCTGAATAAATTAAGCCATCACCTCTCAATTACTTAGGACATAGGGAGAAAGGGAGAACATGGTGAAGGAAATGAAGATAAAAATTTAAAAAGCTAATTTCAGCTGGTGGTTTCAATTTGCCCTAATGATCTAAGCACATTTTTCAGCGCTTAAAGTGTTTATGTCAGGTTCATGGAATTACAATCTTTAAGGCCTCACATTCATGTCCAGATGATAAATGATGACCTACATTTCCAACACCCCCTTAGCCAACGTTCTCAAATCACTTTAGCAATATTTGCCCTCACAAACTTTAAGAGTACCAAGCATTGGTTTGTAGAAAGGAGAAAACAGACTCAAATAAATAAGTGAAATCAGTTGTTGTTCAAGATTACATTGTGAAGGCTGGGGCTGAGTGAAAATACAGATCAACTCATTCTGTTCACACATGCTATCTTATATCCTTCTTACTTTCTACCAAAGTTATTGGTTCCCAGACTGGGCAAAGCTGTAATTTTAGAAACTTCTAAAGAGTACAGGAATTCTTTTAGACCAAATGTGACTCACAATACAAACACATGAGCAATTGTTTGGTTCTGTAAGTTCCAAGACAGTGCAGGTTTGGTCAGAAATGTAATTACCTTAAGGGCAGACAGTCTAAATAATAACTGGAAGAGGAGGTGTTTTTATAGAACTTAGTTTTCTGACCTCTTTCAGGAGAGAACATTTTCTTAAAGTTTGAAAGGGTACAAGGAGCAGGACATTGATTGGTTCTTACTTCTCTGAGGGAGCTGGCAGGAGACTGGTGTCTGGAATCAGCTGGCCAACAGGGGTTTGTGAGAGCCAGTTGTTCAATTTTCAGGAATTTTGTGAGCCAGTTTTTAATTAGAGCTATTAATAAAAATTATATTAAATAAGCTTTCAATTAAATAAGTGATAGTAAAAAGATAGGTAATACATACTCAGAATTCATCACTTCCTAATTATTTTATTGTATTTTACTAGTATCTGTACTGCTGAGGTTATTTATATCTATCGCATCTGTATGCTAGGAATGCTATAAATAGCATGCTTCTACGCGTCTCTTTCTGATTTCACTTTCAATAACTTCATGTTGGTAACCTGAAGTAGCCAATGGTGAGAGTATCGACACAAGGGAAACCGGCAAGCAGCAGGGCTAATGATCTGTTGTTTTGTTGACTGTCTAGACTAGGGTTCAGAAAACTAGGGCCTGCCCATCACGTATCTTTATAAATAAAGTTTTATTGGAATACAGCATTGCCCATTCACTTATGTATCGTCTATGGCTACTTTCACACTACAATGGAAGAGCTGAATTATTTTGAAAGTGACAGTGTGGCTTACAAAGTGTGAAATATTTAGTATCGGGTCCATGATATAAGTTGGCCTAGCCCTCATCTAGACTTAAAAAAGTGATGAGGAAAATGTTAATAATGCAAATTAAACTAAAAGCATGTTGTTGTTTGCAATTGTTACATTGTGAATAGCACAAAAAACTGAGGGAAGAATCTTCCAGTATTGGAAAACTATTATCTGATTCAGCAAAATAATCACTCACGTTCTTGGTAAGTGAGTGAAATTCCAACATAAATATGCTAAACTAAGACAAATTTTAGTGTAATGAATATAATCTGTATGGGACTGAGAAACAGTTAACCTAAAACAATAAATAAAACAGCAAGTTATTTTACCAGCAAAATAGGTTTACTCGGGAGCAGCAAACAATTGCAATTTGGGATGTACAAATATGGCAATCCACGTGCAAGGCCAGCAAAACAAAGGAGAGGAAACTCTTCTATAGAAGAGAAGGGGAAGTTGGGAGGGGCTGTTATAAACAAAAAGTCCACTGAAGGAAACTGGAAGTTTGAAGTACAGTGGTTTTTCATTGGCTGAGCTGTTGACAGGCAAGGAGAAAAAAAATCTTTCTTCCTCCTTCTGGTGGTAGTAAAGTAGTGTCACTTCCTGCCAGAGATGCAAAGTACGTCTCTTTCTGTTGAGATCTGTAGTGGTGTTGAGTGGTATACGCATGACAGCTCCCCCTTCTGGCCTCCAATCTCCATTTTAGTGAGCTTTTCCTTTATTAATTTTCACATTTCTCCCTTTTGATCAAGACCTTTCTCTGAAAGCACTGCTGATCAAGAGTCTGTTTGTTTTAACTAGCACTCAGTGGCTTTTTATCTCTCAATGCCAGGAAGGACCTTTCCTGGGTGTCATGTCCCCCATCACAGGGAAAGTGCACAGACAGGAAACCTATTGTTGTCACATTTGAGTAATAAGGAAGGGTAGGAGGGATTTGTCCCAGACATCTTTCTAAAGTCTGTATCTTATTCATCTAAGGGTCCCAAGGATGGTTCAACATAACGTAAATCAATCAGTGTAATACACCACATCAACAAAAGACAAAAACCACATGATCATCTTAATAGATGCAGAAAAAGCATTTTATAAAATTCCACATCCATTCATGATAAAACCTCTTACCAAAATGGGTAGAGAGGGAACATATATCAACATAATAAAAGCTATTTATGACAAACCCACAACCATCATAATACTCAATGGCAAAATGCTGAAAGCCTTCCCACTAAAATCTGGAACAAGAGAGGAATGCCCACTCTCACCACTTTTATTCAACATAGTATTGGAAGTCCTGGCCACAGCAATCAGACAAGAAATAAAAGGTATTCAGATTGGAAGGGAAGATGTAAAATTGTCATTATATGCAGATGATACGATACTATATATAGAAAACCTTAAAAACTCCACACAAAAATTAGTCAAACTGATAAACGAATTCAGCGAGGTAGCAGGAAACAAGATTAATATACAGAAATTGATGGCATTTCTTTACACTAACAATGAAATATCAGAAAGGGAATGTAAAAAAAAAAATCCCTCTTAAAATCACATAAAAAAAAAATACTTAGGAATAAACCTGACCAAGGAGGTGAAAGACTTATATGCTGAGAACTATAAAACATTAATAAAGGAAACTGAAGATGATTCAAAGAAATGGAAAGATATCCCATGCTCTTGAAGAGTACTGTTAAAATGGCCATACTACCCAAAGCAATCTACAGGTTTAATGTGATTCCTATCAAATTACCCATGCCATTTTTCACAGAACTAGAACAAATAATCCTAAAATTTATATGGAACCATAAAAGACCCAGAATTGCCAAAGCAATCCTGAGAAAAAAGAATAAAGCAGGAGATATAAGCCTCCCAGACTTCAGACTATACTACAAAGCTACAGTAATCAAAACAGCGTAGCACAAAAACAGACATATGGATCAATGGAACAGAATAGAGAGCCTGGGGAAAAACCCACACACCTACTGTCAATTTATCTTCAACAAAGAAGGCAAGAATATACAATGGAGAAAAGAGTCTCTTCAGCAAGTGGTGCTGGGAAAGCTAGACAGCCACATGTAAATCAATGAAGTTAATTCCTCACATCCTACACAAATATAAACTCAAAATGGTTTAAAGACTTAAACATAAGACATGACACCATATAACTCTTAGAAGAGAACATAGGCAAAACATTATCTGACATAAATTGTACTAATGTTTTCTTTGGTCAGTCTCCCAAGGCAAAAGACATAAAAGCAAAAATAAACAAATGGGACCTAATCAAACTTACAAGCTTTTGTACAGCAAAGGAAACCATAAACAAAACGAAAGACAACCTATGGATTGGGAGAAAATATTTGCAAATGATGTGACCAACAAGGGCTTAATTTCCAAAATACACAAACAGCTCATACAACTCAACAACAAAAAAAACAAACAACCCAATCGAAAAATTGGCAGAAGACCTAAACAGACATTTCTCCAAAGAAGACATACAGATGGCCAACAGGCACATGAAAAGATGCTCAACATCGCTAATTATTAGAGAAATCCAAATCAAAACCACAATGAGGTACCACCTCATACCAGTCGGAATGGTCATCATCAAAAAGTCTACAAACAACAAGTGCTTGTTGAGAGAGGGTGTGGAGAACAGGGAACCCTCCTACACTGTTGGTGGGAATGCAAATTGGTGGAGCCACTATGGAAAACAGTATGGCGGTTCCTCAAAAAACTAAAAACAGTTACCACATGATCCTGCAATTTCACTCCTGGGCATATATCCACAGAAAACTTTAATTTGAAATGATACCCACACCCCAATGTTCACTGCAGCACTATTTACAATAGCCAAGACAAGGAAGCAACCTAAATGTCCATCGACAGATGAATGGATAAAGAAGATGTGGTATATTTATACAATGGAATATTACTCAGCCATAAAAAGAATAAAATAATGCCATTTGCACCAACACGGATGGACCTAGAGATTATCATATTCAGTGAAAGAGAAAGATAAATACCATATGATATCACTTGCATGTAGAATCTAAAATATGACACAAATGAACATAACTATGAAACAGAAACAGAATCACGGATATAGAGAACAGACTTGTGGTTATCAAGGGTTGGGGGGGAGAATGGGGTAGGGACTGATTGGGAGCTTGGGGTTAGCAAATGCAAACTACTATATATAGAATGGATTAATAACAAAATCCTACTGTATAGCACAGGGAATTATATTCAATATCCTGTGATAAACCATAATGAAAAGAACATAAAAAAAGAATGTATATATGTACCTGAGTCACTTTGCTGTACAGCAGAAATTAACACAACATTGTAAATCAACTATACTTCAATAAGATACATTTTAAAAATAAAGTCTGTATCTTAGAATAGTGAATATAGCGAGGACACACTAAAAACTGAAGGAATTAAAGAAATGCTTTGGGAAGATGCATTGTAGGAATAAACATGAAGTAATTAAACAGTATTGTTACCTCAAAAGAAACTGTTTGGAAGTAAATGTTTTCTCAGTATTATAGCCTATAGGTTGCAAAGTCAGAGACTACGAGTTCAGATAAGAATCCAGAAGGTTGGTTAGCAGTACCTGATAGGGGCCTTTCCAGCGAGGTTGAAGAGAGCCCTTCTGGAGGTGTCTTTTCCAATAGATGGAATATTCAGGTTGTAAGGTGTGATGCTTAAGGTCTTCATTTCCTGAGAGCACAATGTGAAAAGATTACTCTAACTAAACATTGTTATATATATATTTTTTTTTGCTAAACATTGTTATTTTTAACAGAAGCAATTAGACCTGTGCAATATCGAAGTATATCTTCTTTTGTCAACGGTGGGTCAAAAGAAGCAGAAGCCAATTGCATTGGGTGTCTTATGATTATCTCAAAGGGTGAGAGTTTATAAGCTCCAAAAGGAGTGGATGTGAGAGTTAGAAGGACCAATGTCAATGCTTTTCGCCAAGGTATTTGGAATTTTGCCAAGTGGGTCTTTTTTTTTTTAAATTTATTTAAGTATAGTTGATTCACAAAGTTGTGTTAGTTTTAGGTGTATACCAAAGTTATTCAGTTCATATATATATATATATCTTTTTCAGATTATTTTCCCTTATAGGTTATTACAAAATATTGAGTATGGGACTCCCCTGGTGGCACAATGGTTAAGAATCCGCCTGCAAATGCAGGGGATGCGGGTTCGAGCCCTGGTCTGGGAAGATCCCACATGCTACAGAGCAACTAAGCCCATGGGCCACGACTACTGAGCCTGCGCTCTAGAGCCCGCAAGCCACAACTACTGAAACCCGTGCGTCTAGAGCCCGTGCTCCACAACGAGAAGCCACTGCAATGAGAAGCCCATGCACCACAACAAAGAGTAGCCCCCACTCGCCACAACTAGAGAAAGCCACCCACAGCAATTAAGAACCAATGCAGCCAAAAAAAAAAAAATTGAGTATAGTTCCATGAGCTAATTATTAGAGAAATGTTAAATGAGAGAAATGTTATTAGAGAAATGTTAAATGTTAAAAAAAAAAAGATTGTATAATGAAGCGATATAATGGGCCAAAGTAGCCATTGGTAAAGGTGCTGCCTCAGTTATATCAAAAGGAGTTGCAACAGCTTATCCAGCACTCTATTTACCATTTTCTCCCATTAAATAAGAATCATCTGTAAACCATGAAAAATCTGCATTGGTTAGAGGAATCTCCTGTAGATTATTACCAGGTGTCAGACTATAATACCCTTATGGGTCAATGATGGTCCCCATGTTTGCAGGTGAGTACTCCAAGGGCATTCCCTTCCTTCCCACATATAAAAGGAAAAAGGGAAGCTGATAGTTAGAATGTCCAAGGGCAGGTGGTCTCAATAAGCTTTTCTTTAAGCCTTCAGAAGCTGTGTCATCTTGACCTCCCCAATTAATGGGGTCAGGTTTGCTGGGTTTCAATAAAGCATAGAGGGGCTGAGCCGTAAGAGAGAAATTTGGACTCCAATTTCAACAGTAACCAGCTAGCCTGAGAAAACCTTGTAATTGGTTCTTAGTTTAGGTTTGTAGAAGTTCAGGGTGCCATGAAGGCTCTCAGGATCCAGACGTAGCCACCGTTCTGAGATCAGGTGCTCTAAATATCGAACCTGAGTTTGAGCAGACTGCAGCTTTTCTTTGGAGACTTTATGTCCCTTTTGACCTTAAGTCAAAAGTTTTAGTAAGTGGATGCTGTCTTCCTGTGAGCAGATTCAAGAAGGAGAGCATCTATATGTTGTGAATCATCTATATACTGTAACTAAGTAGAACCCGCAGAAAACTTTATACCAGCTTTCAAGGTTTGTGAAAAGTAAAACGGACTTTCTGTGAAATCCTGGGGCATTCTTCTCCAGGTGTAATGTCATCTTTCCCAAGGCAAAAAGATATTGACTTGCCTTACCAGCTAGAATACTAAAGAATGCACTACATCAATCAATTACAGTGAAAATGTGCTCCCAGTGGGAATGGATGTCAGTAGGAGCAACAGGGCATCGAGGGATAATGGCGTTGTGTATTGCTCAGGGGTCCTGGACAGACCTCCATTCTTGGCCCTTGGGTTTTCTCACAGGTAAAACAGGAGTATTACAGGGATTACTGCAAAGGATGATGATGCCCTGAGCCTTGAAATCTGTTATGGGCTTTATTCTTTGAGGGGCTTCTTTACTTATATTTACTATATTTACACTTTACTATATTGTCTAATTCTGGGGAGAGATTCTGAGATCTATTTGAATCTTTTGTGGGAGGTGCACTGTGAATTTTTCCATTATTAGAGATTTTGCCCGTAAGGGTGGTGATGGTGGCAGATTCAATAGGGAAAAATGATCAGTGTTTCCAGAACCAGCTCCTGTACTGTCAAAGGCAGAGAAAAAGATGTTAATTAATTAACATCTCTTGGTTACTTATCTTGGTTGGCTAATTTGATGGTTTCTGTCAAATTCTAGAATTATTTCCCCCTTTTGGAAGAAAGAAATCCTGGCTTTCTTCATGATACTTCTCCAAGAAGTCTAAACCTAATAAATGGATAGGGGCAGAGGGGCTAAGGAGAAAGGGTGTGCATCTCTCAAGGGTCCTAAACAAAAGGGAATCGGTTCAGAGAGAGGAACCTCTTGAGGTTCATTGCAGACACCCCCTATTTGAACTGTTTTAGTACTACGAGGCAGGGGCTGCTTCATAGCAGTGGGGTTGAGCACCAAGTGGTGTGGCTCCAGTGTCCGTTAGGACAGAGAGAGATTCATTCCACATCTGGAGAGTTGTTTCCTCTGAGCTAAGGAGGAGCACTGGGAAACGCGACTGGAGTTGCTCAGAAGTCTGTCACTGAGAAATGGGAGGACATTGGAAAGGCCGGTTAGAAAGCTAAAGATACCTGAAACATTTACATTTGTAACAACCATTTTTCCAATGTCCTGGCTCTTTGCAATAATAGCAGAAACTGGAAGGTTTTGCTTCTGTTTAGGGAACTTCATTTGCCAGAGTTGAAGACAAAGAATTTTAGCAGTCTTTTTGGCGACTCTTCCAGGGTTTGAGTATGCTGATTTGCCAAATTAACTAAATCTGGAGTGAACATACTTTCCCATTCCATCCTGGTCCTTTCAACTAAAAGAGAAAGGTCCTGATTAAGCCCATTAATAAACATGGAGTTAAAGCCTAACCCAGTGGACTTAAACATCTGAAGACAGACAGGATTTTCTTTAAAAATAATCTGAAGTCAACTACAATAGTCACGGACAGCGTCATCGGATTTTTGTGCGCAAGCCTGAATTTTGTTCCCATCAACAGGCTTAGGAAAGGCTGCTATAATTGCTCAATGGGGGTTTTCAGTGAGTGCTGCAGCCTCTTGACAAGTTAAGGGTTTGCCTTTCTAATCCCTTCCAGTATGTTCCCATTGGGCTAGTTTCATCCAGTGTTTGGCTTGACCCTCACCAGCAAGCATGTGGACTAACTCATATAAACCTGAGAAACCATGTTGGTAGGTTTGAATAACTATGTGAAATTCTTCAGCAGACATATGGTGGGGAGGTCCTCGGTGACTTCAGGGAACTCTTTAACTGCAGCTCACAGTTTGGCCTTAGTTCAGGGGACCTAAGTACTTGGGGGCTTATATGGCTCCTCAGAAGATTTAACACTAAAGGGGCAGTTTCTGCTAGGTTCAGAGAAGGAGGAAAATGGCACTAGAGGTGGAGCCTGAGACGGAGGAAAGCGGGGGACAAACGTGAGCCTTTGGAAGGCATTTTGTCTTTCTTTAACAGCTCACCTCAATTAATTTAATTATCGTATTCTGCACAGAGGCAATTTTTTAGACTCCTGATAATGGTTGGAAGCCTCAAAATACCAATCAAAATAAACATCCAATTGAGTTTGGCTATTTCAGAGCCGTGGCTGTGTAACAGATTTTAAGAAAGGTAAGTTTGGAGAGTCCAGAAGTGCCCCATAATGGCCATCGATGTTACTTCTGGTTAAGTCATAAATCAAATAAACACGAGGAGGCACCACGGTTTTTAAACTAAAATTGGCTGGGGCCTGGGAGGGGGGTGTGTGACCTCAAAACATTTAGATAACTGGGATCCAATTTTTCAGAGGTTCTTCCCTAGAGCAAAGAATAATTTTTAATAGCCGGCAGGTCAAATACCAGCACAGTTACAGTAGGAACTGCCTGATTTCAAAAGAAACGGAAGTGTGAGTACTCACAGCCCAAACAAGGCCTTAACAAATAAAGGACAAAGACTTTAAACAGATCCTCAATAAAGGCTGAAGAGCTTCAAAATGCAAAAAGAGCGGAGCTTGGATCCAGCAAAAACACTTACCCTCAGATTTCAGGGTCAGCAAGAAAGCAGGAGTTCCGTGGGCTCCAAGGTAGCGACACCTGTTTGTTCACCAGCCTCGGAGTTGTCAGCGTTCTTCTCTGGATCTCTGTGGGACCTCCATGTAGCGTTAACTTAAAACAACAGAACAGCAAATTATTTACCAACAAAACGCGTTTATTTGGGAGCAGCAAAAAATGTAACTTGGGACACGCAACTACAGCAAACCACATGCAAATCTGGTGAAGCGCAGGAGGGGAAACTCTTATAGAGAAGGGGAAGTTGGGTGGGGCTGTCATAAACAAAAAGTCCATTGGAGGAAAGCGAAAGCTCAAAGTATAGTGGCTTTTCATTGGCTGAGTTGTGACAGTCTCTCATTGGCTGGGCTGTTGTCAAGCGGGAGAAAAATCTTTCCTCCTCCTTCTGGTGGTAGTAAAGTAGCATCACTTGCTGCCAGAGAGGTAGTATCACTTCCTGCCAGAGAGGCAAAGTACCTCTCTTCCTGTTGGGATCTGTATTGACATGAGAGCTTCTCCCTCTGGCCTCCTGACTCCATTTTAGTGAGGTTTTACTTTATTAATTTTCACACAGTTTAACAGTAGATCATGTCAGATTTAATGACAAATTTTATTGGGAAAGGAGTTAGTGGATCACCTTACACCCATGAGAATGGCTACTATCAAAAAACCAGAAAATAAGTGTTGGTGAGAATGTGGAGAAGCAGGAGAACACTTTTGCACTGTTGGTGGGAATGTAAAATGGTGCAGCCACTATGGAAAAAAGCAGGACAGTTCCTCAAAAATTTTTAAATAGAACTACCATATGATCCAGCAGTTTCACTTCTGGGTATATATACAGAAGAATTAAAAGCAGGATTGTAAAGAGATATTTGCCCACCCATGTTCAGCACTGTTCACAAGAGCCAAGAGGTGGAAGCAACCCAAATGTCCATCAATGGATGAATGGACAAACAAATGTGGTATGTGCATACAATGGAACATTAGTTAGCCTTAAAAAAGGAAATCTTTTCACACGTTATATCATGGATGATCTTGATGACATTATACAAAGTGAAATAAGCCAGTCACAAAATGACAAATACTGTATGATTCCACTTAAGTGAAGTATCGAGAATAGTCAGATTCACAGAAACAAAAAGTAGAAGAGTGGTTGCCAGGATTTAGGGAGAGGGAAGAATGAGGAGGTGCTGTTTAATGGGTACAGAGATTGTTTTGCAAGACGAAAAAGTTGTGGAGATTAGTTGTCCGACAATGTGAATATGCTTAACACTATTGAACTGTACACTTAAAAACGGTTAAGATGGTAACTTTTGTGTTATATGTGTGTTACCACAATTAAAAAAAGATTTAGTGGATTGAGATACAATGCCATTAGTCAAATCATGGTTGAATTGCAACCATGGGTTGGCTATGGATAGAAGAATTGAGGAAAATGAAAACATCCAGTGAGAATCAGCTGGTCATACGGCATTTACTTTATAGAGTATTGCATATTTCATTATCATTTGTAGACCATGTGTTACTTATCCTTTACATAAGTAAAGGGTTGAATACAATTACATATAAATGTATGCACAAACATTTTTGTGCCCAGAGAGCTGGCTGTTTACATTTACCAGCACACCACTGTCAGGACTGGGCTCCCAGCCATGAAGTAAAGTCTGCGCTGGTGGAAGGACGTTGGCCTGGGTCAGGTGTCTAGGCTCTACTTCAGACTTCTCCACTAACTGTATGGACGACTTACTTAGGCTCTCGAGTCTCAGTTTCTTCACCTGTTAAATGAGAGCCCGATTGGGTAACCTGATTATTTTCTGCTGTAAAAGTCTATGACCATGTCAGATTGTAAGCTCCATGAAAGTAGGGGCTGTTTTTCATCTTTGCATTTCTAAAAGCACTTAGCACGGTTCTTTGCACACTCAACTAACGTCTGTCAAATTAAGTGAGCAAGTAGAATTTTTCTCAAAATGTTGGTGATTCCTAAAGATGACAATAGCTAATATTTCCTTTATTATCATGCAGAAGCTGCTTTATCTCATTGAATCCTTTCAACTCTATGCAGTAGGAACAGTTATTAACCCCATTTACACAAACAAAGTAAAAGAGAGTCCCAGTATCTCATAACTAGTAAATGACAAACTAGGATTGGAACTCGAGTCTGTCTCATTTTACAAACCCTCTTAACCACTGCCCTACGCTGCTTCATATCACGAATTAAGGTCTTCTCCACAATTCTGATCATGGGGAAGCCCTCTGCAATGCTAGAAAGTGAACTGACAAGCAATTCTTTACATCCCTTCACTGCAACCCCAGAAGTGTTATCATCTGTGTCTGTAATTAGTGATTTAGTGAGAATCACTTGTAGTTCCTCTAAAATGCAAATTTCTGAGCCCCACCCTAGACCTATTCAATCAGAATTTCTGGGATGAGGCAAGAAAGCTGCATTTTTAGCTGAACTATTATGATTTGAGGGTCCCGAACATTTGGGAGAAGCACCAGCCTAGAACAGGGACTTTCAAACACTTTAAACCACAATTCACTTAACAAAACATTTTACACTGTGACCCAGCACTCACATACATATTCCAACAGAAATGTGAGCATTTTGGGGACTTCCCTGGTGGCTCAGTGGTTAAGCCTCCATGCTCCCAATACAGGGGACCCGGGTTCGATCCCTGGTCAGGGAACTAGATCCCACATGCATGCTGCAACTGAGAGTTCACATGCCACAACTAAGGAGGCTGCAAGCCGCAACTAAGACCTGGCACAGCCAAATAATTTTTTTTTTAAAAAAGGGAGCATTTTTATTTTTTTTATTGTGTGCTTTTATTCTATACATGTTCAAAAGCCAACATGTACAAGGCCATTTAGCAAAATGCCACCACGGGTTTCGCAGTTTGTAATTTTAAAAAACAATGGTCAAAAGCTGCTGTGGCTCATAAATTATGCAATAAGGGGTTTTGAGTAAGATTGAAAAATAGGAGTAAACCGACATTCCCAGCAGGAAAAATACTGCTTGACATTTCAAAAAATTTGTTCTCCCCCCACAGCTTTATTGAGGTATAACTGACAAATAAGATTGTATAAAGCACACATTATGATGATTGCTACACATAAACTTTGTAAAATGATTACCACAATCAGATTAATAAAACAAGCATCACTTCAGAGCAATTATAATGTTATAATAAAAGAGGCATCTAATCAGAGTGGCGGAGTCAGGTAAGGCTGTCCTGAGGAGGTGATATTTGAGCTAAGTCTCAAAGGGTGAATAAAAGCAGAAAGAAGCCGAAGAAGGGGGAAGTAGGACATTCCTGTTAGTTTGGGTGTCCCTGAAAAGAGAGTCTGCCATAAGTACTCATGACTAGATAGTTCCGTTGACGTATGATCCCAAGAAGCTCGAGTGAGGCAGAGAAAGAGAAAGTCAATGAAGGTGGTGTTTTGAGTTCATTACAACTGTGGACCACTGGGACTTTATTCCAGTGAGGACTTTTGAAGGAACATGTAAAATGTACTGAAGAATTGCCTCTCTCAAGGGCAAGTGCTAGGGCAAGGGCATCTCTCCATTGACTCCAGTCCTTACTGGAATACGGTGTGTGTGCGTGCGCGTGCGCGCTGTGATGGAAGTGGAAAATTGACTATCTTATTTTCTAATGGGTAAATACCCTCATTCTTTGAAGCCAGTGACAAATGGGGTGGAGTTGAGGGGTTCAAAGTATCTTGTACCATTTTCCAAATGTTCTTTATTTCAAGTGAGAGTTGAGGGCAGCCCAATTTTTCATAGTCTACTCCACATGCCTTACAATTTGGATAGATTCTTTCCACAGTCTCATGTAGGTAATACATCCAATCTCAGTTTTTAGTGTTGTGAATGTTCATTTCTTTCTATGTTCTCTGTTTCAGTGGAAAGTTAAAATGACCTCAACAAGGACTGGTCTTTTGACATTTTGAACCGTTGTATCAGTACAGTGTGTTTACCCTACCATGCATTAGTGTCAGGAGAAATGCTAACATCATCTCCAAAAGGAACATTTGTGGAAATCAACTTTTGCTTGACACGAACATTTTTAGAACTGCTTCTTAGGTTCTGTTATTCCTAGTTTTTATGAGTGCAAGAAACTAATCAGGAGAATTATATTAATTTATTATATTAATTTATTTATATATTATTTATATATATATTTATTAATTATATTAATTTAATTAATTTATTAATTTAGTCATGATCAGTAAGCAATAGAGACCAAACTGAATCTCATAATTGTAAAGTTAAAAAGAACACTGTGTACTAACACAGGAAAAATATGTGGATAGGAAAACGATTTACTAATTTAAAAGTAAAATATAAAATTTAGGAAATTTAACAATAAAATGTGATTTTCTCATAATTATCTCTCAAATTACATAATCAGATTAGAATAACTTTCTTTGTAATAAAGTAATTTGTAATAGAAGCTAATCTCTTGGATTAAAAAAATGAGTTTTAGTGTAAGAGAGATAAATCATTGCTGGAAATATTATTCAAATATTAACTTGTTCTTTATTCTTTATATTTTCCAGATTTTATTTTCAAAATGGCTAATTTATAGTATTTTCCCCAAACATTACAATTTGTCATTTCTTATTCTTTCAAAGTTGGCATGCTGAGATTCCTTTTTAACAGATTCAACTCGTTACTTCAAAATGAAAAAGGGTTTAGGTGCAAACAGCTTCTTCAAAGTACAGGTTTATGAGATTTAAGAGCTTTTAAAAACAGCACTGACAAGAAAAATACTCTAAATAATAATTGAAAAATATATGGGAATACTCCATCACTAGTACGTATTTTAAAGTCTAAATTTATTTTTTCTTTTCTTGGAACTTTTGAGTAAATCCATTTTTTGTGGATATCATAGTCTTAAATAATTAAAGTATATTTTTCAGGGGTAAAAACCTTTGACTTCATTGGAGCTTCTATGTCTCATGGAATTAGGTTTAAGGCTGTAACTGCTCAGAAATAATCATTTACACAATTCACTGACCTCTATATCAAAAGACACCTTATAAATGCACATCATGACACTGTAGATAATAAACATGCAAGTACTGTCAAGTCTATTCTAAAAATGGAGGCACTGAATTACAGATTATAATTAGAATGAGAGACTACATGATATTTAGTGCCATTTGCAGGGCTTACTTCTTGAAATCCATGCCTGGCAAATGATTACTGTTATATGTTTAGTATCT